AGGAACGCTGTTCGGTGCAGTTATTATTATTATTATTATTATTATTATTAAGAAATGTCAAACCGGTTCACATCGCTGAATCATACAAATGACTACAAATATTTATCAAAGATTATATTGATATTTGCATTCTGTTGTGTTCTTTTTTTGTTGCAGAATGATATAAAAAAAATGTCTGTTCAAAACGATGATGCCGTTGTATCAGGCTATGGTAGTTCAGATGAAACAGCGTCGTTGCTGGTATCATCGAAAAATAAACATGCTTCGTCTCAGTCTCGCGGTAATATTTTCAAAGTTTCATCAACTGTGAATGGGCCTGCTTCAACAAGTGGAACAACGAAACCAGTTTTGATGCGACAAGAATGCACATCATCATATCTGATCAGTCCGAATACATCACAAATGGGATGTTCAGAGGAAAAACAACCTGGTGAAGATGATCAAAGCTCACAGAAATCAAATCAACAAGCCCTCTCATCGATAGCAATTAGACCATATCAAATGTCATTAAGTGTAAATGCTTCTTCCGTACCGGATTTAGATGCACAATATAATTTAGAAGCACCTGCTATATCAGTATCACAATCCTACCGTAACGGCCATCGTGATTCCGTAAGCGGCTACCAGCTGAATCCACAGACTCGATGCCGCACGTGCAGGACATGCGAAAGACGCGCTTCGACAACTCCCGTTTCCTCACTTTATTTAGCTCGATCCGTAAGAAAAGAAATCGCTTTGTCCCATTGGCAATATCACGCAATCATTTCACTTTTATTTGAAAGATTAAGTTGGCGTAATTCAAATAATACTGAAATGTTTGATCGCTTTGCTCACGCACATTTCTAAAATTTCAATTGGCATTTTGATTCAGGTATCAAAAGAAAGCGTTCGTAGTCAAGCACAAGGGCATTTATCGCCTCACTCACTTCATGTTCAACAGCACATACCGCCAGTTCTGATAACCTCATCACCGAATTCGGGATCACGAATTATTCGACAAAGTTCACAGCCAGAAGCTAGCAATGTGATTTGTTGTCAACATGCCTGTAGTCATACCACACCATCATTGCGACAGTTACGCGAGCCCAGCGAAGGAATTGCTGGCATTGCTGGCATTGCAGCTGACTCGCTGCGGATCAACGGAGCAATGAGACCTTTTCGACAGGTATGTTTATATCATTTTTTTATTGTTGTTGATTTTTTTTTAACATTTAAAAAATTAATATAGTTTTTAAACTATATACATAAGATAAATATTTTCTTCAAACATTTGATCTGAGATTAGTTTCATGTTATTAGATATTTTATATGTTTTTTTAAACTAATTATAAATTCAACTAATCGAAATAGACAACATATGATCAAATAACAATATAAATATATTTGATTTCGATTTTCCAATGCATACCAGTTCTATAAAATTATCTAATATAAATGTTGTTGATTATCTGTAGGTTATTTTAACCAATAAGTAAAAAACACTTCTTCCGAAGTTCCCAGTGTGTTCTGATATAAACTTTCAGTGACGCATTCACTCAAATATGTACAAAATGTTATTATTGCTTCGCCTCTCAAATGCAAACACAAAATGATTTACATGTCTAAAAGTTATGTTTCACTTTGAACGAAAAATCTGCTGTTTTTTACTCTAAAGCAATTATTTTCAATTTTTATTTTTTGTAATATGTCCATTGTCCATAAAAATACTAAGCCACTGCAAGTATATACAATTTTAAATAAATGCGAGAACGGTTTAGTTATTTTTACAAAGAGTGTACGTTTTCATTTTTTTGCGGCGAAAGGTGCGACGCAATAATCACATTTTGTATATATTGAGTGAACGCGTCACTGAAAATTTATATCAGAACATTTTCAGATTTATAGTATTGCGTCACACTGGGAACTTCGAAAGAAGTGTTTTTTACTTATATCAATAGTTTTGATAGTATTTTGGTTACCGTTAATATGTTCAAAATGGCAAAAGATGAAGATTTTTGTATAGGAAATGTATCATCGTTTGCAAAAATATCTTACTACTATAAAAAACCATATTTGTAATGTGAATGAATATTTGGCTTTTGTTTACTTAACTCTCATTGGCTAGTTTTTGTAAACAATCGCGCAGAGTAATCTATATGACAACAAATTGAGCGGTACTCTTTACTCTTGAGTGCTTCACAGATTCAACGATCCATTCGACCTATGCATGTGAAAGAATGCAGAAATGCGTTGACGAAACAACAAACTAAATTAAATGAAGATTGTACTTTTCCGATCGTACGCTTTATTTTTTGTCTCTTTTTGTCACAGTGACAAACATCCTAAGAATATGTATTTTTTCTCTCTGTTTTGTGCAAAGCATTTTACGTTTCGTGCGTGTTGTGATATATGTTTCCTCCGTGTTGAATCACATAGCGATAGCGATTAACCAACGAATTATACAAATCACAGCGGACGGCAGTTCGCGCGAGTGACGAAACCACATTAGTGTGTTGAAAAGTCGAACTCGCTATATACATATACACGTAATATACGAAATACAGACCTAGAAGGCCGTTGGCCCCGGTTGATTTATGGTTGGAAAGCCCTTGAGCTATAGATCAAGAAAAAATATAAAAGTTTGAAAGTCGGTCCACCTGTCTTCAAAATATGGTCCTTTCAAGAAAAGGTTCAAAATTCAGTTTCATGACCATAGATGGCACTAAATGAGGTCATTGACCCCTAAAACATCGATATTCGAATTCTAGAGCTCAATACATTTTCAAAAATACCTCAAACGTCGAAATCGGTTAATCCATTCGAAAAATTTATTATTTTAAAAATTTCATATGAATTCCTATGAAATATAAAAATGTCTGTCTGTGTGTCTGTGCACTTCTTTCGCGTACCTCTTTGAAACTTCCTGGGATTAAAGAACATAAAAAACTAAGACCATGGCCGGCCTCTAAAAGTCACCGAAGCGCCATGACTTGACACCCTCCGGACATATGCATATTATTGGAAAGGTATTGAAGTGAGCTATCGAATGAAGTCATTTTCGGTCCAGAAATTTCAATTTGGGGTGGCCAAATTAGTCAAAAACCAAAAAGTTACCGGTTGACCGGACACATAATGGTCATTAGCTCGAAAACTAGCCTTTCTTGGTCAATTGAAAATTTCACCGATTTTTGGGCCCAAGTCTAAGCTATAAAATGCTAGGGGGAGACACCCGCGAATCCATTCACCTTTTGTGTCGGATTTGTACGATTAGTATGATTACAAAATTTTACAAAGATTCACATTCGATTCAAATTTTTGATTTAAATTGCTATGATTCCAATGATTTGCACAGATTCACAGATTCGTAAAGATCCACAGATTCATTAAATATTCACATTTTTGTGTTTTTTCTTTTGACGTACAAACGTATGTTGTTTTTATAGAAGAAAAAATAAATTGAACCAAAAGGGGGGTAAGGGGGTGTTGGAGGGTCAAAACTAATGATGCCAATCGATCGGGCATCAAAAAATACCTTAAGTTTGGGGGGGTATTGAGGGGGTGTTTTTCATACCCTTTTCCCTCAAATGGGAGTCTATAAATATTTGGGAGGTAGGAAAAATAGGTAGCCCCACAAAATGAGGAGGGGTCGGTCGGAGGGTCAAAACCAATGATGCCAATCGATAGAGCACTGAAAAATACCCCGGGTATGGGTGAAGGGTCATGGGTGTTTTTCCACTCCAAAGACCTTAAATATGGGTCCGAAGAGTCAAACCGGAGCACCCCCTAGGGGGGAGGGGTACGAGAGGGGGTCAAAACCAATGGTGCCAATCGATAGAGGACTAAAAAGTACCCTAGGTAGAGGTGAAGTTTCATGTGGTGTTTTACATCTTGACACTGAAATGGAAGTCTATATATATTTTGGGGGCAAAAAAATAAATATAGCCCCCCAAAAAGGGGGAAGGGGGTCGGATGAAAAAATGCAAATCGAAAGAGCGCCCCAAAATTACCCTAGAAATGTCAATCTCTTTGCTACAATCATATATTCAATACCCAAACTGAAATTGAGTAAAGTTTTACCCACCCTCCCCCCCCCCCCCTTGCCCATGTATGTTTCAAGGCAATCGCAAAAATTTGCCAGGCTGGATAGGGGGTGCCGATATAATCATCTACTTGTAAGACGAAAACCAAAAATGACACCGGTATGTTGTTTCTGACGTCTAATAGACGCAGAAAAACTATATGCTCAACAAATTCCGAAAAGTGACCAAAAAAAACCCAGAAAGTTATCCATATCAAATACATCTTATGTTACAGCGATTACGAAAATAGTTATGCTATCATCCAACAGTTGTCGCTGTTCACAGTATGCCGGTTGGGTTGGATGACTTTTTCGAAAAAATGTAAGTATCAAAGCCTACAGCCCAGAGTAGTTGTATAAGCATGAGCTGATTCAAAAAACAAACATTTTTTGATGGGGTTATACGTCATACATGATGGTGACTTCAACGAGTTTGAAGGGAACTTTTTCAAAAAATATCGCAAAAAATGTGATTTTTAGAAATAACAATTTTGGTTATTTTTTTACATTTTTACGCTCTAATTGATCTTATTTCATCAAT